CCAGCCTATCTTATTTAGACAGACCTGCAGAGATAATAACATGCACAAAAACAAGACAGAGCAAAACCAAGCAACAATATACAACAAGACAACAACAACAACAAACCAATAACAAAAAAAACACACAGTAAAAAAGAAAAGTTTATAGTTAGTTCAAGGATTGTCTGTTGGCTTTTAGGAGTGTTTTCCTGTCCAGTCTGTTGGGGCACCACACCCTGGCCCCAAAGTCCACCTTCAGCATTCCCTGGGGACCTTGCTGCTCCATTCCCTTGCTGATGTTCTGTTCCACCCCCTTAGTGTTTTGCCTCGGTGTGTCGGGATCAGATCAGGTGCAATTCCCACACTGTGTCTCTGGTGTTGTCCCCTGTAGGGCGATAGGTCAGTGAGAGGCATCATGTCTCATAGTGGGGCTGGCCATGTGGACCTTTCTGTGGACTGGCTGCTCTAATTGGGGTCATCGTCCTCAAGGCCTGGTGGGCCAGGTTGTGCTCCACTCTCTCCTCCTCCCCCTTCATCTGCTCCGTGTGCTTCGATCAGATATGTCCCTCTCCCTGAGCTGCAGATTCAATGCCGTCTTTTGAAATAAATTCTTCTGAGGGGAGGGGCAGATGTCCACTTAGTAGTTGGGATTGGGGCCGGCCCCCCAGATGCTTTATCTATTTTATAGAACATTCGAGCTCTGAACAGAACAACTATTTTCTAAAAAATGGTGGTCCTCATTCTCTGATCTAGAAAGCCGTTTTCAAACGATATAATCTTAGTTCTCCATAACGACTCCGTTATCTAAAGGAGACACGGTGGTGCACTGGGCAAGCACTAGGTCGCCAACTGAAAATTCCGTGGTTGGATGGTCCTCCCGACCCAGCAGAGAAAACAGATTTCAGCCTTTGCCACCCTGTGAGGGGCTCCTGTCCTGTCTTGTGGGTTCATGATGAGTCAGAAGGGATTCATCAGGATTTGTTTAGTCACATGAATTTCATAGCCACATCATTTGTATTTTGTGCTTTTGTCAGTAATGATACAAGCCACACAGTTAAATCTGGCAATTTTTGTATTAGATGAAGTTAATGAATTTGACATTTTCTTTCTTTTTTTTTTTTTTTTT